CTGAATCTTAAATATATTATAAATAAAGGAACATTCAACCACATTAATACACACTAACATACAGGCTAAAAACTGTAAATAAACGGTTGCTTTCCGACAATTTGGGTATTAATTTATTTTCCATTGGTTGGTATATTTTTATTTCCTCTGTAAAAAACTCTTAATTAATATTTAATTAATTTAAAAATCTTTATAATTATTCCTAATTACCTGAACTTTCGACTTTTTTGAAACCTATGACAGTTCTCAGAGACTTGATTAAAGCTCTGCTGTCTAGGAGGTTGTCGGTAATTTGGAGTTTGCACCCTATTCGACATTATTCTGGGATCTGAAAATGTGCAATGCTTTATAAATGTTATATGTTGAGAACGATAAAGGATAAAGTAATTTCACTATCACTACCCAAAAATGTTTCAAATTAAGTTTAGGTATAAATTTTATAAACCAGTAACCGTTACATTCAATTACCTTGTAGAACAAATGGTACACCCTGGTACAACGTGGGCGGAAGAGAAAATCTTTGCTTGTCATTATGAGGAATATCACCTGCGGGAGTAGGAGACCTGCTACTTCTACTCGATGTTGTCGGAAACACGTTAGGTGCCTTATTAATCACATAATATTAAAAATAAACAAACAGGGCAGCTGTATAATACAATAGAATTTCAATAGTGTCAACAGCATAATATACTATAAACAGATTAACTTTCATTAATGGAAACTAATATTAAATGCATTAAAAATCGATTTCACCGTTGTTGCTAATCCCCGATATATTTGGTACTTCCCCAGTCGTATTAGCATGAGAGATATTTTATGCGTATACTCACTTTCGATAGATAGTGCTTTATATTTCATATATGTTTATTTTGTTGATTGAGGATTATAAATTTTATTACATGTTAAATATGATGACACTATAGCGATTCTATTGTACATCCAGAACGAATAGAAATGAAATATGCTTTCATTAAAGAAGAATTAGAACAAGGCAAATGTAAAAATAAAAGACAATGCTAAAAAAATTGAAATGCACGGTTCAGTGTGAAAAAATTACCTGTTTGTGTAGACCTGCTTGCACAAACCCCGAAGCGTACGAAAACTGTACATTTTGTGTGGGAGACGTTTGAGGAGTCTGATAAAGACTTTGACCTTGGCCACCGCTGTAGCCTCCTGCAATAACTGTAGTTGCTGGAGAATTCGTGCCAGTACTGCCACCATGACTTGAGCATGTTGAAAAATTTTTAGGGATACTAAATTTATTGCCTTTAGGCGTTCCATTTTTTTGAGTTCTTATATCGTACTGACCCATTTGCAAAGGAGCTGAACTGCCTCCTGTGGAAAATGAACAAAGAACTATTGTGAAACAAATATTCAAGGAAGTATTGTACCTACTTCTTCTTTCAACTTATTTCATTTTCAGTAGCTTTCTTGTCTAATTAATATTAATGTAATAATTAGATGATTAATATTTTATGTAGCAGCAAGCTATATTTTCCCTTACCTGTGCCTGCCTGACCTGGGAAAACATTTAGCTGATTCATGCCATGAGTGATTTGTCCTATGTTTGCACCGCCCCCTTGATCAGGAGGAGAGGGATTGAAAATGGTATTGGAACTGGCAGGTATACTTGAAGCAGATGTACATTGAGGATAAGGAATATTTTGTACAGGAACCATGACATTATGATACAGCGGGTTCTGAGCATAAACAATAGGCTGATTGGGATAAATTATAGGACTAGGTTGGTTTGTTTGTTGCGGATACACCATATGTATATGTTGTTGTGGGAATATTGGAACAAATTCTGTATTATGAGACGGTTGCTGAGGTAGGTTAGCAATGTGCTGGGGAACATAATTCTGTGGAAAAGACGAAGACAAGCAAGGCCCTGAAAAATTAAAATAACCTTATTAGTACAAAAACGTAAACAAAACGTTTAGTTTTTATTCTGGAGATATATTTTAGTGTACCTGCTTGGCCAGAAGGTAGTGACATGGCCAAACGTTGTCCAAGTACATTCGACGATGTGGAATTTTGATAGCAAGTGAGAGGGAGTTGAGGCCATAAAGACTGTTGCTGATATGCAAGCTGGGGGGATTGGTTAGGAGGTACTTCTGGTAGATTCAGTTGTACATAATATCCTAGAGAAGGCTCTTGCACATGAGATTCCTTGAAATAGAAATCACTATCAAATCAAAAACTAATATTTCACAAAAAGTATTGATTACTATTCTGTTTTCAAAATTTTGCGGTAAAGGTGTCCCATAAGATCCATATATAACACAGGGTTGCTGACATATGGAGGTCTCAGAACCAGTAACAGAACCGTATCCACCAGCTAATATTGGAAATTGTTGAAAAGGTAGACTCCCTGCTTCATTGGGAACTCTAAATGCTGCATTTCCACAATGCTGAGGAGGCGGAGTAAAAGGTAAACTCGGACTCGTAGAACTGTTAGTAGTGTTGAATTTCTTCAAAGGAGATGATCTTGATCGCCTTTTGGGTGATGAGATCTCTTTGTATATTTTATGAGTTGGCGACTTTTGCGGCGAAACTGGAGGTTTACATGATACGGTATTTATTCCTGCAGGTGGATTCATAGGATCGTAGTGATATATAGATCCATCTTTATTCTTTAGAGGCTCCCCTGTCTAAAAATTAAAATTGTAGTGAGACTATATGTTTCAACAAATAAGAATGACAAAAATAAACGACTAATCTCTTATGTAAAATATATACCTGTGGAATAATTATAATGCTGCCTTTTGGAACATGCTGTATATCAGTTACAGCCCATACAACTTGACCTTCAGACTGGTTTAATGATGAAGACTCATTAATATTAGTATGAGACATAGCACCACATGCGTCCGATCTTATTGTATCAGCAGGATATGGGGTAGATGTTGGAGAAGGTGTTACAGATTCTGATAATTGAGATTGTGATTTGTACCCTGAACTAGAAGGACTTAATCTCCACGACACAGTGCTCGCTCCAGAATCTGAAAGTAATATTATTATTATAAAAAATAAGGATTAATTTTGTAACGATACTTATTGAACCAATAAAATAAAGCAACGAATAAAAGAGAGTATAATGGTAATGTAATTTTATGATACCTTGCTTGGTAAGAAGTCTTGGACCAGCACTATGTGTTGATACAACACTGTCGCCTCTTGTTAACGTTGACATTCCCGCATAGCCACCGAAACTGTAACTTTTGGCAACACATGGTCTTGAAGTTTCACTCTCAGTTTCAACAGACTGCACCTTAACAGGATGGTCAGTAGTACTTAGTCAATATTTTCTAATGCACTGATTTAAGTTACCTTAAGTAAACGCCCTGGTATTTTACCCGGTGGTATTAATTTACATCGGGATGAATAATCGCTATCGCTACTAGACCAAGGAATATCGGCCCAATAGAATTCTTCTGCGGAGCTAAATTCTTGCATCTATTTAAAGAGAATTAAAATGTGAATAATTAAAAAAAACTGCAATTTTTTTGTTCCAGTATGCACCTCTTTGCTGAATATTCTTCTTCTAACTTTTTCGTATTCTTCTTCCCTTTCTTCAAAACTTTTACTACGTCTACTTTCTAAACCAAATTGTCGGTCAGGAGACTTAAATCCGTAATCGTCCATACTGTTCGAGTCCCTTTTGAGAATCGATCGCCTAGGTTCCTCAGAAAAAACGATGTCCTCTCTAATGTGGTCTTTAAATTCTACTTCTGGTATACGAGTATTTTTCGTTTTATTCACTACTACACATTTGCCCGAAGATTCAATATTATGATCCATTCCAAAATAAGCAGCACATCGATGAACTAACATACGATGATAACTTGACATTTGAGGAAATTTAAAATGAGTTTGTCTGCAATTAATTATTTGTAAGTTATTTGAAATTGTAAAACAACAATAATTTACGTACAATCTATCTTTGGCAAAATTGACTAGCTCTTGTTCTATTCGCAACATAAATGCACGATCCTTTGCATTTCGATTAAGTGTTTCAGCAATGAACTGATCGAGATCTATACCCGTGGTATCGGTGTATTGATTTGAACTACTTTCTAGAATAATATTGCAAATGTAAAATGGCTATTGTGTGGTAAAAAAAAGGTATTTTCTTACCTCTACTTAAGCGAGACGAACACGAAGAAATAGCATCAAAACTACCTTGTGAAGACGAGCTTTGTTGTCGAAATTTTCCTATTTTTGTTGCTTTAGTAACAGTCAAAGTATTAGGATTACTCATTACATTGTTATTTATGTTACTATTCCGCTTTTCGACTTCAAAACATTTTAAGCATTTCTGGTTTGGACAATTGCAAATACATGTTTCATGTCTACATCTATCTTGACTAGTTTCGTTGACGAAAATGTTCTCATGCGAAATTTCTTCTTGTACAATTAAACTTTCCTGCAGTTTATCCTGGTTCTCTTTTACTAACGAATATTCATTACCATCTTTTATTTCCCCTTCTGAATATTTATTTAGTACAGTTTCAACAGCGTATACAATTTCACTGGGAGAATTATTTCCCATGGGTGAAGAAACCAATGTAGAGCTGGATGAAGTACATGAAGACACTTTTCCTATATGGAGAGGAGGACTTAAAACTACCAAAGCTTTGGTTTGCGGAAGTGGTGGAGATTGACTTGGTGTGGTAGCAGGAGATGAAATAACTTTAATCGAAGGAGACACCAAACGTGCATGAACTGGATCTCTAGGAGGCGATGTTTCTTCGCGCATTGCATGGCTACGTACTAACACTTTTAGTTTAGAATTATTCTAAAAACAAAGTTGTATAAATAGGTACCTATCTGTATTTCATAAACAATAATTAATTATCTGGATTTCGGATTTTCCAATTTAATACTTACTAAGAAAAGACTTATTTTTGAACAACATAATGTACCAAATAATTTTAAAAGAAATACACTATTTAAGAGTGCATGTGTGTCATACACATGACATATTTTGACTTTGATAATCAAAATGTAATTAGTTGCACAAAAACAATCACTTAAAGATACTATGTATTATAAGTCAACTTTTTAAACAAATATGTTGATTAATGCTTTATGAGTAATTAAAACCGTTAAATACACGTAAGTTCTTAACCACCGAAGAAATATTTCACAAGTACAAGCAGAACAATTTTGCCATAAACTAAAAAACCACTTACAACCAGGGTGTGGTTCACATCTAGTTTTGATTACGCAATCAACCAATCATCAGCAGTTAGAGTTACTTGATATGTTTTAGCCGTTGATTTATTGAATTATAGTGTGCTGATGAGAACTAATAAATCGATTTAAATAATTGTTTCGGTCAATTCCTGATCAAGAACTTAACGTTCTTTATTAGATTGGTTTGAGTGTCTATCTCATATGCCATAAGTTGCCTCATAGACAAATGGGAACCTTTATAAGGCTCCATGAAATACCATTAAATACTACATATTGCAAAATACCGCCAGATAACTAACTTACTCGTCTAGTTTGTTGTGGACTGTTTCCTTCATCAGGATCTGGGTCCATATTGCTTTGATTTTGATTGAAGAGATGTTCCTTTTATTTAAGTGTGATCCTTCACGGAATCAAGATATAACTTCCAACATAATAAACATATTTTCGAAGTTTGAAATGAACACATCGTGACTTCAATAAATTCTTGAATCTATAGTCCATTAGATAATTTTAAATATTAAAACTTTAGCTATTTGTGGTAACAAATAAAATTGTCCCTGAAACAAGAGAAAGAATCTCGTAGAAATTTTAGTTCTTCGCCCTTCGTATTCACGCAATTCATTAAATTAAGGTGTAATTAATTTGACTACCCATTTATAGTTTTGCTAGTGGTTTACGATGACCCATAAATAGAATAAATAAAACAAGTTGGATACTTTCGATGTAATGAGAAAAAAGAAAGACATACTGAAAATCATTAAAAAAGCAAACTTTCGATAAATTGAAGAAATAGGTACTATTTAAAAATTATTCTATAAGAAAAGAAACAAGAATTTGAAGCATTTGCCTTATTACTATTTTATGTTAAGAGAAAATTTGGTGAAATGTTCTTCCTGTGGATGTTTTCTTCATCAAAAATACGCCCAACAAAGTTTAAGTATTAAGTCTTTATAAAGACACCTATAGTAAGTTAATTATTCAATTAATAATTTCCTTTAAATTTGAAAATGCGACAACGTATTTTCAGGGTCGATTCAAAATCAGTTAAAATTAGATACACGATGCTCTAACGTCATTTCTAAAAACAACTACTTTTACTGGGACCGCAAACGTTGTCCCATACGACGCTGCGATTAAGTAATGACGAACTAATACCTACGAATAAAAAATAGAAACAGATACATGCACTATTTATTCCCTTTTAGTAAAACCATCTGTTAATTTATCTGAAATTATGAGGAAAAGTTCAGTATTTCTACACATATTAGAAGACACTGCTTAATAAATGATAGGACAGATCAGTTATTTAAAGTAACAAACAATTAAAATATGTAAATTTTTTCATACATACGCATATTTATATATCCTCTGTACAATAAAATAACAAAGATCTCTAGCAGAGTTAGGTGTACCTGAAATCTCGCGTTTGATGTTTTCTACGAAACTAATATTCATTGCTGAATTTATATTTTAGTCAAACAGTTTGAGTTACAAATCCAATAAAAAAAAAAACACTTGTGTGAAATAAATCAAACACACAATTTTTCCAAAATACGACTTTAAAATAAAATTTTTATTACTACTAAAAGGACTAAAAATGTTCAAATCACATAAAATTTTGGACGATCAACATAAACCAGCACTTGACAGTAATTTCAAAAACTTTATTTCTACTCCAAAAGTTTCATAACATTATTTGAAACAATATTACTTCTGTTCTGTTTTGATATTTTTAATGAATCATTTCTTAGAACATTCCTTTATATTTGTATTTAACATACTTTNTTTATATCTATATTGGTTTTAATTGTATTGACAGTTGTACAGTATTTTAATACAAATAATTAATATGCTTAAAAGAATTCGGAAACGATATATAAAGCAAGACTTATGAAAAATAGATTAAAAATTAATTGAAGTTAAAGAAAGTCAATTAGTATATATAAAATTTACTTATCAAACAAAATTTGAAAAAAAGTCTTATTTATTAAATTTGAAACATGTAATAAAAATACCTGAAACTTTTATTAGTCGATTTCTTCGGCCAAAATAAGAGAAGAACGTAATCCTACTGGCCCAAGTAAAATTACCTATTATAGGATAAGTAATGTTCCTCGTACATTGTGCTTTTAATGGATAAATAATTTTGAAATCATTTTTTTCGTATGAGTATGTAAACACACGATGCTAAGCGTCACGCGTTACTGAATTTTGCATCGCGACTCGCAACTCGCGAGATGTAGAAATAAAATGAGGTAAAGGAGCGCTTTATTAACTTGGCCGCTAACAATGAACTTGACTTTAATGGCCTTACCCTTTTACCTGGCTGATATCGGAAGTAACGTGGCTGTTGGCTGTTCGATTTTGACATTTGTAAAGCAATCGTTACATCACCGTTTTCAGGAATCTAAAGTAGAGTACACTTTCGTTTCGGAGAATTCATTTAACGATTTTCAGAAAACTTTCGTTGCACTGATGGGAACCACATAAAACAATGAGTAATGATTTAAAGGTTTTAAATCAAAATATGCGAATTTGTTTGTGTTGTTTTCCAACATACAAATTTGTTTTAAAATTCCTCTTGTTGGTGGCAAAAACATAGCACTGTTAAGGAAAGGTCACACCGTTTTAGATTTTAAGTTCTATATACCCAATCCTCGACGCCGTGAGTTCCCCGATAAAATTATTATATATTACGAAACGTTTAAGAACGCTTATTAATTTCCTCCCTTGGTGTGTATGCTATTTTTCACCACCCTTCGACCATAAAGTGAAATTTTCTTGAGTACAGAAGTACTTTAACAATTGCAAAAGCTTTGGACATATTTGCATCATTTGAAGCAAAGCATCTTAGCATTTTATGATTTCAAATTTTACGTTATATTGAGTTAAGGTAATATTCAAAGTGGTCCAGCACACGAGTGGAACAGATTAATGACCAATTTGCAGCAATTAATTTACTAGCTATTTACAAAAAAAAATATTTGCACAAGCACCCGGCTTTTCAAATAAAATTCAAAGCATGCTTAGATTAAACTGTAACTTGAGAATCACGTAAAGGACAAGGTCAGAATCAAATAAAAATCGATTTAATAGTCATGCACGAAGAAAGGGGTAATCACGATTGTCGGTGACTCATCAAGCTTTATGCTTTATTCATCATGAGTTAATGAGCTGTTAAGCTTTCAAAAATTGTCAATGTAAACAGTAAATTTCGTGATAAGATAAAACACAAAAGCCACGATTTAAAATGTAGAATAAGCATTTGTTACTTATGTGTTCATACCTAAATGAATTGTGTCGTACGTAATTTCATTTCTTCGTCTTTTCAAATTTTATTGTTGTAAATAATAATCAAAGTTAAACTGAGGCAAAAAAACAACACCGACGTTTCGTCCTTTGATACGGGCTTTTTCTTGATAGACTGCGAGTCCCTGAATTTCTGTATTACAGAACATTCAGTAACTTGCAATCTATCATGAAAAATGTTTTTTCTGACTGCAATTCTTTTCTTCTTTCCTAACAGAACTTCAATTTCATTTAAAATGAATTTCCATCGAATAGATTAAGTATAAAAAAAGTAATTCTTTCAATTATTTAAACTGTTCTGTAAAGATCTTTCCTTTCTGCCGATGCTTTTTTGCTTTCTACTGATCGGGCATAATCAATTTAACCGGGTTCAACCAGTAGCGTTCAAATTAGAATCACTGTTTCAGTGAAATAGATAATAGATTTTAGGAAACAATAATTACAGCCCTTATCTGCACAATGCAATTTTGATAGAGAAAATTAGGTCAACCAGGCTATAACATTCAAGCTGGTATCGATTGATTCAGGTTTTCATGCGAGTTTTGCAGGAGTTTACGTATAGGATCGTTCGTTATGCCTTTTTATTTTATTTATTTAAAAGTTCTACAGGGCCATGACCTTTTATACAATGTTTAATAGAAATAAATGTTGCGTTCTTTTATATTATGTTCAAATTACGCGAATCATACAAAAAAATAGGTAATTATCATCCTAATTATCTTACTTAAAAAGCAAATTAATAAACTGTTAAGCAAGTTAGTAATTTGCTTGTTAAGCAAATTGATTATGGCAGTTTACGACTTGTTTGTTAAGGTAGTTAATAACATGCTTGTCAAGGAAGTTTACAACTTGTTTATATAGCAAATTAGCCACTTGCTTGTTAATCAGATCGATAACTTGGTCGATATGGCAGTTTACAACTTGGTTGTTAAAGAAATTGATAACAAGCTTGTTAGAGAATTTATAAACTTGCTTCAATAACAAGTTAGCCACTTGCTTATTCAGCAAATTGATAACATAATTGCTTGGGAATTTACAACTTACTTGTAAAGCAAGTTAACAACCTACTTGTTAAGCAAATTGATAACTTGGTTGTGAAGGAAATTTACAATTTGCTTGTAAAGTAAGTTAACAATCTGCTTGTTAAGCATGTTAAAAATTATTCATGTTGATATTACAGCGTTTCTGTGTAGACAGGTACCTAAAGTCTAAAATATTTAATATAAATGATAGGACAGATCNGTTTTTAAATTAGATTATTTTAACCAATCATATTATTTTAAAAATTTCTACGTTTTGCTTGAACTTCGAAGATTTGGACAACGAATAGGATATCATAATTTTATGAGTTTGCTTTTATTCCCTCTCTTAGTAATAAGACGTTATAATCACAACTGCTGTGAAATACTGAAAGGTTGAAATGGAATATAAAACAGTCATTTTTCATGAGATTTTCCTCCACAGCTTTCCGTATAACAATATTTTCTATCGTTATATTGACGTTTGGGAAGTTATTGTTTCTATAACAGCAGTTTTACGCATATCTAGTGCAATATGCAGGAACTTTACCATCTTTATTTTTTGCAATACGTATTAAATGTACATAAATATACATATGGAATTAGTTACTTAAAAACTATTTATTAAAGTGCCTATTAAAGTGGTAATCAATGGCTGAGTTTAACAGGTGGTATTGCGAGCAATGCTCCAGATCCTAGAGTTGCTTAGCAACCTGAGCTGAGGATGTAGGTCACTGACCGAATAAAAGGATAAGTAGGGAATATTTTTCAAATCGTAATAGGTATATTGTTACACTTTAAAATTTCCAGTGTGAAAAGATTTGTATACCTATAATTATGCAGTTGATAATTTGTTTAAAAATAAGAAGTTTTAGAGCATTTATTATTAAAAAAAGCGTTTCGTTAACGAACAAATAATTACAAGAATTTACGTAATTTTAATTTAAAATTTAATGCAACGAAGTACACCCTTCAAGAGCACAGCGGTGACTAACTCAGGTATGTAAGTGTAAGTGTTATAAACCGGTTCGATGCATCTGATTGGCTACTACGTCGGCGGCCATTTTTAAATCGTTTAAAAACTAGGTCAAAATCTATGCACCTGATGCACCTGCACTTAAAGGAATGCGGAAGTAAACAATGCTTGGCGCCACTTATAATAATTAAAGTAGGAAAACTTGTATAATTTTAATCCTACATTTTAGAACCTTAATTAGGTTCTAAAGTAGGAAAACATCAAAAAGGGTAATTAAGCTATTTTTTAACCGATTCACATGCGGTTTTCACTAAAATTTAGGAACTATAACGGTGGTAATTGCGTGTGGTGTTAAATATGAAAAAATTAATGTAGTAAAATTGTACGTCCATATAGCTATACAGCAAAAAAATACTACACTGTAATTTTGTGCAGTCAACTTTTGTTTATGAAAATGACCCAAGCAGTACTGATAAAATTGTTAGTTAACTTAAATTAAGTAAGATATCAATACGACATTTACCTATAAATTTTAACATAAGAATATTTTGTTTAATTACCAAAGAAAGTTGGGGGGTCAAAGTAGGTACCAGCAAATTGTGCTACAAAGATACCTACCTAATCTAAATTTCATAAAAACATCAACAGTGAAATGGTGAAATTTTTCATTAAAACACTCTAATCGAAGACCATAAAACGTGTAATAATTACAAAATCCACACTTAAGCATACTTATGTACTCACTTATGTTAAAGTAAAATGAGTATTAATTAAACTTAACCTAAAAAATTTTCTTATCTTAATTATAATTACTACTTACCTTAAATACAAGGTTTTAGCCCCATTTAACGAAATACAGTACTGTATTTAGTTTCCTTAAAGGCTGAAGTGTTTAAAATGATACGTTTCTTTTAATAAAATTTAACGTAGGTTGATTGTTACTCAACACTACTTATTTCACTAAAATTTAAAAGCGAATGTTTGCAGATAAAACAAAAATAATTAAAACACGTTCACTGCACAATAATTTTATCGTAGGGGTACAAATTTCAGTTATACTTTTCGTTAAGTAATCAAAAATACTGAAAAAGCTCTACTCTCGTAGCTTGACAGAACAACAACCTACAATTTTCTGCTTCTAAGAAGTGCCATCTGCGCTGGCGCTCTGTCTACTCATTTCTGATTTTTCGGATATATGCTGCCATCTACCAATCATTGTAGTAATGCAAATCAAAAAGTTAGATTATTTAAAGGTTATTGTGAGGTTATTATAATATAAAATCAGAAATCAAGATATGATCAAGATCTTTTATATGATCATAAGTAATGATTATTTTCATTTTGTGTGAAATTATGTGAAAAGGTATGTTTCCTATCAGTCATTTTGCCATCAAAGATATTGTATAAGATTAAATTGTAGATTAAACTGTTTCTGCTGTAGATAATCATCTTGTTGACTGACCTTTATTTCCAAAGTTGTGGGATTCTCTGCATTATCTATATCTACCAGTATCTACCATTCAACTGAATTGCTTATTATCAAGTTATCATTTGTTGTGATTAGTTGGGTTGTGATTTGTGATCGTTGTCATCAATTGTAATCACATCTATTACTTCTGAATTTTTACCAGTTGTTGGTCTTTGTATTAAAAAATGGAAAACACAGAAACTGTTTCTGAAATTTCAAATACACCTTCAGAATCCAATAAACAAGTAAAACCAAAACAAAATATATCAAGTGATGAAAAGGCTCCTGACAGTTCAGATAATAGTGCTCAAAAGCAAAAAGCAATAAAAGGTAAAAAGAGAAAAAGGCCAAAGGATGCTACAGCTCCAAGACATCCACTAACAGGTGAGAAATATGTAGTTGGAATAATAATTAATTACATTACTAAACTATGTATTACAGGTTATGTCCGGTATTTAAATGATCGTCGTGAAAGTGTCAGAGCTGCTAATCCTAATTTGCCTTTTTCTGAGATTACAAAGATATTGGCTAGCGAATGGAGCAGTTTACCATCAGATAAAAAGCAACAGTATTTGGATGCTGCAGAACAAGATCGCGAACGGTATACTCGAGAATATAATGCTTATAAACAAACTGAAGCATATAAGTTATTTACTCAACAACAACATGAAAAGAAGATGAAAGAGAATAAAGAAGAAATAAAACCCCAGGTACATCAATATTGTAGTAGAATTTGTCTGCATATGAGCTTGAAATAAATTGATGACAATAATGCTAAGATGTTCAGAGTTTAATGAGAATGTAATATACATACTTTTTAGAATATCCCTCAACAAAATAGTCTACCAGCAAAAGAGAAAGATTTACCAATCAATAACAATGAACATGATGCTGCCAATTTTGATATTCCAATATTCACAGAAGAATTTTTGGATCACAATAAAACAAGAGATGTTGAACTTCGCCAACTAAGAAAGTCAAACATAGACTATGAACAGCAGAATGCAATTTTACAAAAACATATAGAGAATATGAAAAGTGCTATTGAGAAGTTGGAGAATGATATATCACAACAAAAAAAGCACAATAATGTGCTCCAACAACACTTAGATGAAATTAAAGCTACTCTTGCTAATGGATTTTCAAATGTAAAGCTACCAGGTAAATAATATTTATGTTATGTTTTGGTTATATGATTATGAGCTGATCATTCAATAAATTTTGTTAGAGAATACTATCAATATTTTCTTTTTAAACTTCAAAGTTGAATTATGTCTTTTAATAATGTATATAATCCATGTCAATAATTATGCTTATGTCCAGCTATTTAAATATTGATAAAAATAGAAAAGAATTGTTATTTTGTAGGAGGAGAAGAAGGGGCCACACTTCCAAATATAGAAGTCTATATGACCAACCTACATTCCATTCTACTTGAGAACAATAGTCAGGATGCAACATTTATACAAAATGTACGTGATATTGTGGGCCGCTTAGAATTTAATGGATGACAGACACAGAGCCTAACTGCTCTTAAAAAGCACAGGCATAAAATGAAAAAGTAAGCAAAACACAAAAGGCCACTTGTTTGTCATTCGTTCACAATTTTTCCGTACATATTTTAGACGATCAACGTCTAATTCTTATGTTCTATACATGTATGTGTAGTTAATATGTTGTAATATATTGTTTTGATAAATAAAATATCAATTTCATACTTTAAAGAGACATTTGTGTTATTAGTTTCCCAAAACTTTGCCCTCCCAAACAGAACTGCACAGGATCGAATCGCTCGCGCACATGATGCGCGACTGTCGCTTATTACTTTACTATGAGGCAGAAGTGGAAACTTTTGCGTCACTTGCTCCCTTTCTTACTGACATTCGTTGTCATCTACGTGCATGAATACGTTAATTACTTGATAATTAGTAGGAATATCATGATAATTTTTATTGGAGATAATGACTAAGTGTTTAAGGAATAAAATTAAAACAATTTGATCGACGGACTTAGGTATTATTAACTTTATGTAGGTAAAATCTGTGTGTTAGTTGAACATCCCTTTTAAGGGTTTTTGAGACTAAAGCATTTGTTTCATGGGGTGAGTTAAAAATAGAAAAGGAGACTGGTATCCTAATAAACTAAAAGAGACTCACCGCTAATTACTACAAGTAATTTTTAAACATACACGTGTTTCGCCCACTCAGTGTGGGCATTATCAACCTGAGTCACGAGTTGACGATCTTATAGACATAAAAGTAACGAAACCTTATTAATTAATACGATTTAGATCCAAGAACTTTTATTTTTATTGAAAACATTTAACTACAATAAGTTTTGTTTCTTTTCTTAGCGATAATATGTACTTATATCAAATGATGGAACCTTTGTTTTCGAAAACGGGTAAACAACTGTTTCTGAAGAAAACAAAGTATTTCTTTTTCTCAAGTTACTTTTTTAAACTCTCGATTCATACATTGGTTCTGGTACTTTAGAATATTACAATTTCTTTAAGTGTGGGAAGATTAATGATTTTTGACTATTATACCATTTATTTTGTTTAACAAAAACGCCAATACGATTACTCTTACAAGTAACATACGCTTATATCAGCACATGCGGTGTTTAAAAAATCGATATAAATTACATATAAAGAAAAGAATTTTGTCTCCCACCAATAAATGTTTATGAATGAAGACCTGTTTAACATCCACAGAACAGGAAAGAGTGGATCTTTCCCATCTGAGTCAATCTTCGCATTATCCCAAAACTAGAACAACCCACCCCCAACTATTTGAAAACAGTAGTCTCCTGTTTTTCTTATGATAGAAGCAACGATACCATTTTACTATTTTATGATTAATGTTGGGACACCCTTAATCCTAAAATAATCCAACTATACTGAAAAGTAATGGTTTCCTATGTACCTAGGTCTATTGCACAATCATTCCACATACATCAGTTATTTCTAAAGGGTTTAAAAAGGTAACAAGTGAATGTAAGCTTTTCGATGGAAGCGTAGGTTTGATTTTTGATCATCCCACTTGCTCCACCCTCTCATATACAGAGCACGCGCCAATTTTAAACATTAGGAAATATACCTGTTGAACGGGCGCAATTGAGTTGTTCGTGGTCCCATTCATTTATAAAATAGTTCGAAACAGAACAGTGAACTTCCACTTCAAAACAATACGACCAGCTATTAAGTGCAGCACCTTTGAGCGGTAAGTCGAGGTATCTACTCGTTTGTGATAGTCAGCATTTTGTATAATGGTAATTATAAATTGAATGGTAAAAAGTGCACGTTCCATTTTAGTGTTCTTTTTTTTCTTTGAAAGGTCCTCCTTTTCAATGGTAAAAATTTAGAAACTGTACTTCTCAGCTTATAAAAAAAGAATTCGAAACATTTTGTGTTACTTTAAACATGGAGTGTTTTACAGTAAAATGCAAATTTTGAGAACGAATTCCATATCCGTAAAAAAAGCGCACCGTAGATTTCTATTTTCTATTGTCATCAGGAATAGGTACTTCATTCAAAAATACATTTAAAAATCCATTGTGATTCCAGGCTGATTTTATACTTAGAATAGTACAATTTTTATTCTATTTTGACCCCATTTTAAGCGATTCTTATACGGAAAGCACGATGGAATGATTTCAATTTGTCTTGCATACTATAAAACACATTTAAAATTCATAATGCTACCATTTTCCACTCACATTTGGAGAGGTACCATTTTTAAAAAACGTTTGTAAACGTTATAAGAAAATGTAAATATTTAGAGTCACAGAAGATAGATAGATAGGTTCATTTTTAGGGGATTTTCATAAAGCCATTAACCAATAATACCTTTGTAAAAATGGATTATTTATCAGTTTGATAACTTGATCCACCAGAAACGGAAATTAATCTATAATGACTGTATTTAGATTTGGATATCAGTGAAATCCAAACACCAAACGTATTTTACTCTGAGTAAGGGTAATTGAACATAAATTTACTTGTGAATAAGTACTAGTTTATAATAAATAAAAAAGAATTGATTAATCACGATAAATGAGCTTAGATTAGTACAGAAAATAAAAATATTAAAATTAACTCGTAAAATTGGATATGAGAAGAATTTGACTTCTTTGAAGAGAAGTCTAAGAGTTGTAAATAAACCGTTTTACCTTTCAGATTTAAACCGATAAGTAATAAATAGGGAGCGATATAAGGTCTGTGCTTAGGCGTATGATCAAAAGTTTAAGGTCTGAGAACTACACCTCTGATTTCATAAGAAGGTAGATACTGCATTTTCTCGTTTCTTACGTTATAGTTTTTCGAAAGTTCATTAAATTGTTTGACATGGAGCACTCTATATAAAGTAAGGGTTCAGTGGCACATCAGCTCGTTTTATCTACTAAAATACGAAAGGAATAGGCATAAACAGTTGTAATGACACAAGCTGTTGTAGACACTGTTCGTTTCATTGTTATGATTAATTCAATTAATCAAAATTGTCGCATACAAGAAAATACCTTCTACAATGTTTGCTCGTAAAAGACGTAGGTACTTATCTATACTGACACCCTATAAAACCGTTTATTGATCGTTTATAATTAATTAATTAATTCATTAATCATGGTGCTAAGACATTACTATCACATTAAGTAATAGCTTTTGTGCTTTAGAGTGTTAAAGCAACATAAACAAGTATAGGTTATTTTCGAAAAAAATTCTAAGAACAAAATAGGCACTTTCCGGCGTTATTTTTGATAAAATGTATAGAATATCTTAAACACAAAAAGCGCTCGTGAAATTATTCGAAGATGGAAGGTATTTATTAAGCCTTCAAAAGTGATAATTATGTAAAAAAATACGCAGAATCTCATGGTGCTAACGGTTTTCAAGTGCGATGTCAAATAGGCAATTTCCGATATTATTTCTGCTAAAATATATAAAACAGTTAAAAAATATTAAAGCTCTCGTTGAAGTATTAGCAGATAAGAAGCATTTACTAAGCTTTTAGAGGTGATAATTATGTAAAAAAGGGTGTAGAATCTCATGGTGCCAACGGTTTGCTAGTGTGATGTCAGCTATTACTTTCCGGTGTTATTTTATTAGTTTAAAGACAGTAGAGAAAATTCTGAAATGATTAGAAGACGTCGCAGTGCTCCTGATTGATTTTACACCCATTATGACACTATACCTTTCTACGATATTATTAACTAATTGTTGTCATTTAGTTTTATTCTTATAACTTAATATCGCCTCTGATTGTAGCATTTCTGCGAGTACATTTATCAGCGTATTCTTTCATTTCATCCTAATTATCCTGACCGTTCTTATTTGCCTCCCTCCTTTCATTCTACCCGCATCTCCTAGCCCATTCGCCCAATTATTATTTATTTATTGTGAAGAGTGGACTTACGTCCATTTCTTGTTCCTGTCAGAGATCGATATTTCTTATTTTATGCTGCTTTACGATTTATTAAACTGCTTTGAAGTTTTTAAGTGTCTTTTTCATTAATACACTTTACCTTTATGGTTTTTAGAAAATACGTACTCATGGTTTTGACCCAAACAACACTTTTGATTGATTAACTCGGTCTCGTTTTTTGTTCGCTCATATTATGAGTACTTTAAGAATTAATAGTATTGTGGTTGATTGGTATATAAAAGATTTCGATTATCCTTTCTGGTATCTTATATAAGCCTATTATTACGTAAACTATTTTGCTTAACATGGAACTGCTAGTTCCTTAATTATCTACTTCTACTCTTTATCCGTTTTTTGTTTTAATTTGAACCTGCTTTCTTTTTCCATTTATCCAAATTTAATAATCACCTTAATATACTTTGCAAGTTGTTTCTGTCAATAAGTCATTTTTATTCGATACTCACAATTCTAACAAACTAATTGATTCGAGCAATTCAAAAATAATTTCTATGAATAAAAGTGTTAATTATCGCGAATTAATTGTGTCGATTGATTGGAGGCAGATTACTTGTGGATACGCTAATTATGTTTTCACGTGGACGTTGTCGGTCACGCCATTCCCTTTATATAAAGAATCCAACGATACCATGTAATTAACTAATTTGACTTGGGAATACACATTAACTATTTTTTTTTTTTTGAATTAAAGTTGAGTATCTATAATGTTTTTAATGAAAAACCAGTATGTCAAAAAAATAACGTTTCGTATCATTACATATGAACTGAAAACCTTACAGCACAATCTTTTTACCATTTTTGATGTAATGATCGAATTGAAACGGGAAACAAAATACCATTGTTAATTATAAATATTGCTAAACGTTACGAAATAATATACGAGGGTGGATTGATAAGTTTCCGGCCTGACCAAGAAAAACAAGGTTTTTAAAAATTTTTNGAAGTTTTTAAGTGTCTTTTTCATTAATACACTTTACCTTTATGGTTTTTAGAAAATACGTACTCATGGTTTTGACCCAAACAACACTTTTGATTGATTAACTCGGTCTCGTTTTTTGTTCGCTCATATTATGAGTACTTTAAGAATTAATAGTATTGTGGTTGATTGGTGTATAAAAGATTTCGATTATCCTTTCTGGTATCTTATATAAGCCTATTATTACGTAAACTATTTTGCTTAACATGGAACTGCTAGTTCCTTAATTATCTACTTCTACTCTTTATCCGTTTTTTGTTTTAATTTGAACCTGCTTTCTTTTTCCATTTATCCAAATTTAATAATCACCT